GCGGGGCTGGCAGCGCGGGCTGCTGCGAGCCCCGGGGCACGGCACGGCGCGGTTTGTGCCCGTGCCCGGGGGATAACGGAGCCGCGCTCCGTCCCGGGGGCTCTGACCGAGCCTGGGCGCGTTGGCACCGTGTAACGCCGTGCTCAGACCTGACACTGCACTGAACGCAATGCTGCTCTCCTTGTCTCTTGTCCTCCTGCCTGGAAGAACACTTCTGGTGGTCACCCCTGGCCTTCTGTGAGTGAGCATTCTCCAAAGCACTGTGCTGTCTGCAATGCTGGACTGGGGCTCGATCTGCCTGACCGGCAGCGACCCTTCTTTAGCGTCACTTGTTCTGAATTGTTACTGTTAATTTTACATGTTTTCACGTGTGAACTGTGGTTCTGCAGCAAATGGTTTGTACAATTAGGGTTGGTCGAGATTTGTGAGTCCTGTGTAGATTTGTCTTCTGCCCTCTCTACAAAGTATGACAACAGTTGTCTTCCTTTTTGGTTACTGTGTTGATTTGAGACAGAGTGGAATGTGGAATTCTGCTTTTATGAATGAAAAGACTTAATTTCTGCTTATTTTGTATGTATTTTTGCTGTTGGTTGTGTGAGTAGCTTGGGTACGGTAGATCCATTTTCTGTATATTTGTAATTTTATTGCTAAATTGTTGACCGTCAGTGGAATATTTAAACTGACATGGTAGAGTGACTATTTTGACTGTTCACCTTTTTCTATGAAGGCTGAAAGTGAATTGGGTGAAAGAATCTCAGACACCTAAAGCTTCCCTGTAGGGAACAACATAGCTTTATTTTGGTTGGAAGATACTCTTTGCCTTTGCTGTAAGTTTTTCTGATATGTCAAAGATGTACCTTTTACCTCTTTCTTTTGTAATGCAGAGTATTATTATTCTTGAAAACGTAATTAAAATAGATTTTTAAGCACTTGGTTACACGTGGTCTGAAAAAAAAAAAAAAATCTATCCAAAGAGACTGGTGTTGAATCCAGCAGCAGTTAGTGACTGCACACATCTGTCTTGGCTGGAGGTGCAGGGAAGGAAGATCCTTCATCCTTCATTTCTCAGGGGGTTCTTGGCTGCAGTGGCAGCTGAGCTCTGGTCTCCCTGCTGGATCACGAGCCACAGTTGAGTTTTCTGACTGTTCCACTCAGGCTCCAACACAGGGAGTGGCTGTGGTATCACTTGGGAGAGAACAGTGGATTTTTAAACAAAAAACATCTTCCATGGAGGACCAGAACCAGACACTGGATTTATCCCTTCAGCTTTGGACCTGGGTTTCTGTCTCATAGCCAGGATGCAGTTTGGGAGGTGTGACTGAGGCCCAGCAAAAGTGCCTTGTAAGGAAGCAAAGGAGAAAATCTCCATTTTGGGAAGTGAAAAAACTTGCTTTAATTGGAATTAATTTAGAAAAATTGTATGGTGCTTACCGGAGGTTAGGACAGATTATTGCAGCAGTGTTTTATCACATAATCTCTTATGCTCAATTTCAGAAGTTAATCCAGATGGGGACAGTTTTTTGTGTGACAGTGACATTTGGCTAATGGATCAGGGCAGGGTTTCTGTAGTGCAGCTGAAGCCAAATACAATCAGCCTTTAAATATCTATAGAAAATATTTCTTCTGTTTTTAGTTTAAATGAACAAGATTAATTCTCTTTCATGGAGTGGAAGCAACACAAACAAGTGTACCTGCTGCCAAGCCAGCTGCTCCCAGGGGATTCTCCTGCCGTGAAGTGTCCTGGGGTACCTGAAGCAGCCTGCTGATCCTCCGGTGCCCGGGTGATGTGGTGGTACTGGTGAGTACTGGGGTGCCAGCCCCGAGCAGGTGTGGCACACGGGGTCAGAAATGGTTCTGTCACTGGGGGTCGGTGCTGCAGCAGTGATTTGGGGTCCCAGAAAATCCAGCCTGGGGGTGCCATGCTCTGTGCAGCCACTCCAAAACTCCCGGGGACACTTTGGGAAAGCTGCGAACGCCTCCTGCTCCGCTTTGTGCCCTGGATCCTGAGCTGAAGGATGCTGAGTTCCCAAACTGGGCACCTCCAGAGCTCAGCCTGGCAACATCTGTGTGTGGGTCCCAGCAGCAGGGTACAGAGCCAGGGCTTTCCGACTCCTGGGTGGGACAGAGCAGAAATCTGCAGTTCAGACATCTAGATGGCCATTCAGTTTTAGTCCTCTCCCAGAATTAATTAAACTGTCTAGACAAGGCTGCTGCTTGTTGAAAATCCATCTAGTGAAGATTTTTGTGGTGCAGAATCTGCACCAACGCAGAATAAACAATCACTTCAGCTTAGTAAAGGCTAGTGGCTCCCACCCTGGGTTAGCAGGCTTAAATTGCTTTGCTAGTTCATGAAAGAAGGCATAAATTAAGCTGTTCAAGAATCTGCAGACAACAGATGGGTTTGGAATGTTACTTTTGAGAAATTATATATTTCTAATTCAAAGCCAGGAAGAGTGTCTAGTTACATTTAGATGATTGTTTAGTGGAATATCAGCAGCCCCTGCTTTCAGCAGTTGTACAGAAGGTTCCAGGTGCTAGGAGCCATTCCACATCCCTCACTCCTGCCCAGGAGCCCCTGTTCCAACAATTTGGTGGGAGGGCTTTCATCCTGAGTTTCCCATTCGCATCTTAAATAAGATTAAGGTATGTAAGAATAAAACATTTTGTGAAAGAACAGCCAGATTTTCACCCAGGAGCATGTTGGGTCAATTTTTGTTCTTGGACTGATGCTCATTTGGATTTGTTTTGATAAGATTTTAATGCTGTTCCTTTTGCAACAGGGAAAATCCTGCAGGACCCTCAGTCACACACGAGACGGTGGCACAGTGATTACACTGATTACAGATCTGCTTAGACATGCAGGAGGAGAAACAAATTGCATTTCTACCAGAGATTATCTTTTAAAGTCCTGTGTTGGTTGAGACAGAAAGAAATGAAAATGAACAGTGCTTGGCTGGCCTAGTTGAGGTGGGATTTTGTGCGTGTAGAAAGCCATGGCAGTGGAAATATCCACTTTTGCACGTGACTTTAGTGTGGCTATGCACCAGCCAGGAGAGTTTGCAGTCAGGGTTCAGCTGTGCTACCTGGCCTGGCCTTGTCTGCTCCCAGTGCTGCCTCTCCGATGGTCAATTGTCTTAATTGACTTCTCACTATTTATTAACAGATCTTTAATTCATCTTTCACTCTTACCTTCAGATTTCTGCCCAATCTTTCCCCATGTGTGAGATGAGGGGATTTCTGTGCACGGGCTGTGCACTGAACAGATGGATCTGACAGCAGTGCCATATTCTCCCACCAAAATTGACAGGATAATAAGAGGAGATCTTGTTAAACTTGCCTGTGTTGCCATCAGTGCTTGTTTGCTAATATTTCACAGCAAGGCAGACTGGCTGACAGGGCTTTGCTGAATGCATTGCAGCAGCCTTTTCTGAAGCTTAAAGAAATAAAGAAGAAAAAAGGAGCAGGGATCACTGGAGACCTTACCAAGACCAATCCAGAATGTGATGGGGAAGCTCAGGGGCTGAGGGAGCTCAGGGTGCCCACCTGACGTGGATCTGACCCTCCTGCCACAGGCTTTTCCATCAGACAGCTCCTGAGCTACCCAGAATTACACACAAAGCTTTGTTTGGCAAGAGCTGGGAGTCTCTCCAGATCATGGATCTGTTCAGCAAGTGCACAGCTGGGCACAGCTGGGCACAGCTGGGCACAGCTGGGCCTGCAGGGCTCAGAGGCAGCAGGAATGGACAGGGGGTGGCAGCGCAGCAGGGGAGGATTTGACAGAAACCCCCTGGGTTTAACTTGGCCCCCTGAGCCACAGAACACCTGCTGGAGCTGCCAGGCAGACACTCGTTAAAGGTGAATTAATCACCCAGACACCGAGGGTGGATCCAGCTCTGGACTTGCCCACCCGGGTCCTGTCCCTGCCCCATCCCTGCTGCCAGGGCTGGCAGGGCCCGAGTGCCTGCAGAGCAGATGTGTCCCAGCTGGGCTGTCACCCTGCTCTGTCAGAGTGACACCCAGCTCCTCCAGACTGAAATGGATCCTTTGCTGCCCAGGGGACAGCTTCAGCCTCAGTGTGTTTCATAAACCTGCTTGGAGACACCCAGGGGTGTCAGCTTTGTAGGACTCGATGAAGTCGTATATTCCCTGGGGTCAGAACTGGTCTGGAATTTTT